TAACAAATCAGAGGAGGAATTCTGAAAATTTTGACATATCATCATCTTTCATTGCAAGCATTGTGTTGTATACATGTCTTTTATGTAGCTTTGCTGGTTGAAAATCAGCCTCTTTGTGTACGTAAAATCCCAGATACTATGATGAACTAATAAAGTAGCTGTTTAACAAAATATGATTTTTTTTTTTTTTTTTTTTTTTTTTTTTTTTTACAAATAGAACTAAGAAATAAATATAACCACTAAAACAAACTAAAAGTCCAAAAAAAAAAAAAATTGTCTACGACGAGCTCCGACTGCCAACCAATGCGACAAGCGCAACCCAAGTTTGAGGAACCTTTCGAATGTGACAAGCCCGAAAATCAACAAGAGCCTGTCTAATGTCATGGATCAACCACAAGCAATCGATGTTGTCGGAACAAGAACCACACAGTAAGGCATACAACGAAGCACAGTTGGTGTGAATGGAAACTTGTAAGAGCCCTCTCCGTAAGGCAGCTCGAATAGCCCAAAAACAAGCTTGCAATTCGGCCTGAAGAGCTGAGGAAGTTTGACAAGCACGAGAACCTCCACCCAAAACCACATCCGATTCCAGATCTCTGAAAATCCAACCTGCACCTGCATTGTGATCCATACTGTCCCAAGCGCCATCAATAACCAAACAGGCCTCTAGTAACTCCAGATCACCTCCTCTCAACCAACTCGAAGGATACAGCCTAGACTGTGAGGAAGAATGTTTCAAAGAAATCTGCCAGCGTTAAAGGAAAGAGCTTGTTTGAGACGCCGAAACCAATCCTCTGCCAAGACAGAAATAGAGGCCGCAGAATAAACTGCACTTTGAAAGGCATGATTATTATGAGTTAACCAAATAGCCCAAAGATACGATAAGAAGAAGAATAGAGCATCCCATTTTCTGCCAATGATGCAACCAAAAACTAACTACGTAAACCATCGCACAAAAGGAAGGATGGAAGGAGAGATAGGCGCAAAGCCGGAGGGGCGTCCATAACGAGCCTGCTAACAAAAGAGCAATCTCTATATAAATGCATTGGAGTATCTGGCCGTTGAAGACAAAAAACACAGACAGGATTGAGAGGAACACCCTTTTAGGCAAGGGAGGCAAACAAAGACATGGCGTTATGAAGCAACTTCCAGACAGACATTTTTCAGTTTTGGGAGAATCGACAACCCCCGGAAACGCTTCAAGCTAAAGCTGGTTACTACTAACTGAAACCAAAGAGTTACGAACCAGCATAGCGTAAGCCGATTTGGTCGAGAATTGACCATCTCGGCTATACATCCAATAAACAAAATCATCCATCGGTGGCTAAGGGTGCTCCCCAGAGAGAATACGAAGCAAAGTGGGGTTATCAAAATATCGATGAATCATAGAAGAATCCCACGCGTAAGAACCCTTAATGATAGAAGAAACATGAGGAAACATCCGACTCAACCAAATTGTCCAGAAACTTCACTAGCTCCCCCCGGGGCCCAATCATCCTCTAGAATACGAACCCGAGAGTCTGTAACCACCTTCCATGCCAAGCCAGAAGCCAGAGTTGCCATTCCATTAGCAAGACTTGGCAACCCCATAAAGAGCACTGAATTCGACTCAGAGCCAGTGAGAAAAGCGTAGAGTATTTAGTAGAAAGAACCCTAGAAGCCAGCAACTGAGGATTTTACCGGAGACTCCAACATTGACAAGCTAACAAAGCCGAATTGAAATGTTCCAGACTTCGAAGCCCCAAACCACTTAGACACTTAGGGAGATGCAATAAACAAAATATGAATGTTGATAGTATATTGTCGTACGGAGTACATCCCAATGATATTCTTGTCATGTCAGTTGCATATCTTGGGCCAAAGAGTTTGGGTGGGGTCGTGGGGGTGCCAAGAGTTTGGGTCAAGGTTGGATCCTCTTAACCTTTTGTTCTAAGCATAGCAATATTTAACCACTATGCAACAACTTTTTATATGTGCTTATTAGGCATCATATTACTTATAACCAACAACTTAGAAAAAGAATTCTTCAAAAAAAAAAAAAAATCAACTTAGAAAAAGTTTAGAGGACAGGACCTTTCCTTGCCAACACCAAGATCTAGGAAATTGATTTCGGCACACCCTAAATTGATTTTGGCATACCCCTATGTGAGAAGAATATAAAAAAACCGTGCTCTCACATAAGGGTGTGCCAAAATCATTTCCCCAAGATGCAATGACATCAAAAATAGTTGTTACATAGGTTCAAGCAAAGTTATTAAAATCGTGATTCTATTTTGAATCGGAAGGGGCTATCAGAATCAAATCGTAAAGTCGAATCATAAAATCGTAAGATTCTACCGACATGAATAATCGAGACATTAAATATAAATTTAATTAAATATATTGAAATTATGAGTTTGAAACCTAATTATTGATAGATAATAGTTATTTAACCATTAAGCAATCAATACTTGACAATATATATTTATAAAAACCTATATAAACACGTTTTTCACTTGTAAGGATTTCGCTAGTTTAGAAAAATATGTAAAATCGAATAGAATCGTAAATCGAATCGTATGATATACATGAATCGTAAATCGTAAGATTTTAAGATTTAAATCGTGATTTTAATAACAATGGGTTCAAGTGAAAGCTTTGAAGCTAAGAACAATCACATATTTGGCTCAATGTTGCGCACCTAATTGGATTATGCTTTGCTCGGGCCATTAAATGAGCTACATTTTTTATTCTTTTATTTATAAAGTTAACTTGTGAAGATGAAAAAAAAAAAAAAAAACCAAACCAGTGAAGAATTCCAATTCCACAAGGTATTAAAAAAAGGAAAAATTAGAAAAAAAATCCCAACTTTCATCAATTTTGGTAGAATAATCCCAACTTTCATTTATTCTGGAATAATCCGAACTTTGGGGGGTCTTATTTTTCTTCAATCCCAAACCGGTCAACGAAAGTCAATGACTTGTTGTAATAGGTTATGTGCCACGTGTCAAGCTAAAATTGGTCCAAATTTAAAAAAAATAACCAAAAACCCTTAATCCCCCTGCCTGCCACCGTAACCCCCACCACCACCACCAACTGCCACCGCTAGCCGTGCCAACCCCTCCCTTCCCCTGCCCAAACAGTGCGCCCCTTTCCCCCTAAACCCTCTATGCCGGTGTTTCGACCCACCTCCATCCCCAATCCCCTCATTTTCCATTCGAAACACCCTCAAAAACCCTCCCTCACTCCCGAAAACTCCCAACAACCACTTCCTCACCGTCAAAAACCCTAGTGGCTAGAATTTTCGATGGTGGGGGAAGGATATTTGGGGGTTTTCGGAGTTGGGGAGGGTTTCAAAGGGAGTTTTGAGTGGTGGTGGTGGCTCGAAAAAGAGTTTCAACTGGTGGTGGCGGCAGAAAAAGAGGGGAGGAAGCTGGGTCGCATCACCGGCGTTGGGGGAGGGGGAAAACCGGTGTTGGGGGAGGTGGGAAACCGGCGCAGGGGAGGGGAGGAGCAGCAGCCGCCGGAGATGGAGTAGAAGTTGGGCGCATCACCGGCGCAGGGTGGCCGGATTTGGGGTTTGGCTGTTTTTTTTTTATATATATATATTTTGTTCATTTATTATTATTTTAATATATTTTTTAACCAATTAATGCGTGACACGTGTCACTTTTAAAAAAAAATCCAAGAAATCCATTCATCCGGTAACCGGTATTTGGGATTGAAGAAAAAGAAGACCCCGCAAAGTTCGGATTATTCTATAATAAATGAAAGTTGGGATTATTCTACCAAAAGTGATGAAAGTTGGGATTATTTTTTCTAATTTTTCCTAAAAAAAAATGAGGCATGTAATATCTTGACACATGGAAACCAAATCACATCCCGAAATCCTGGTAATTAGTCAAGAATGAAGAACTTCTACGACTACAACTTGTGAAGATATCACTGTACATAATTACCTTCAACACAAACGTCGAGTAAAGTATAAATACAGTCCCTTAACTTTTCTTTAAGGGTAATTTTTAGTCCCTCTTAACTTTTTTGGAGAGTTTTAGTCCCCCCCCCCCCACCTTAAATGGTGTTTGTCAGCCAAAAGTTTAGGGACTAAGCTGACTTGGCTTTAGTTTAGGGACTATGAGTCATCAAATAAGTTTAGGGATGTTGAGTCATCAAATCTGAAAATAGTTTAGGGATGTTGACAAAGCAAATAGTTTAGGGACTTCATTGATTAATGTTTTCAACCAGCAAAAAACATTTTAGCAATATTTATGCTGATTCAAAAAAGTAGCCGTTAACAAAAATAAAAGGCCTATAAATGTTCGAATTTCTTCCACAAAAAAGTTGTTGAACATCCAAAAAAAAATCTTGCCCCACGAAATTGCTTCCACTGCATCAGGAACTAAAATCCAGGTACCTGTAAACATAAAGTGTAAATTTTGTAAGTAACTGTTAATGGTTTTAGCTTTATTTACATACTAATTATGGCTTAATTAGATTTGTTTTGCAAGATGTCTTCCTACAGCAGAGGTTCTAGTGGCAATGGGGGTAGGAGGTGTCATTGTGGTTTACCAGTGTCAAGAACAAGGTCTTGGACAAGAGATAACCCAGGCAGGAGATTTTTGGCATGCCCAGACTATGATGCTGAGATCAACAGAAGGAGCTGTAAGTATTTTAAGTGAGTTGATGAAGAAGATCAGACTGAGTGGCAGAGGGATGTCATCTTAGGGCTACTTGAAGACAAAAAAATGTTGTCTAATGAAGTCAAAGAGCTGAACCAGAGGGTCAATGAGGCTAACACATATGCAAGAAAGTTGACCTCAGAGTGTGTTATGCTCAAAATGAAAAAACCTAGGTTGTCTGTATGTGTTAATTGTGAGGTCTGGGTTGTATTTGTAGTTGCTACATGTGTACTTGGTTGGTTTTTTGTTAGAAACATGACCAATTAAATCTAATTGCTTGAATGTTTATGGAATGTAAATGTAAGAATTATTAGGATTATTAATAAAAGTAATGAAATTACCTCATTTGTTCTTGTCTCTAATCTGCACTTGCTTTGCCTTAGCTAAGTCTTGCAATGCTTGTGATGATATTGTTTGTGATGATTGAGATGCTGCCTCTGGTTGTGATTGAGTGAAGGTATATTCTTGAGAGACGGAGTACACAGTCTGTTCTCTTGCATTGTCAGAGTAAAATGCAGCTCCTCTTGACTGTCTTGGCATGGTCTGAGGTAGTGGCTGAAATCATTGAACAAGGTCATTGATAACATAACAACATTAACACAGAACCAGATCCAAATTAAGCAATTAATGAAAGGACAGTGTAAAGGCTTACAGTTGCTTGTCTTTGAAAGCCATTAGGGTAGGTGTATACACCTACCCCTCTGTTGTGCATTGGAACAGCTGGTCCAGGGTCTGTTGGGGCTGCAATAGAGGTCTGTACACCAGTGGGGCTTTCCCTTGGTGCATTCCTACATGTCACCTTGTTGTGGCCAGGAACCCCACACAAGCTACATGTGATCTTCACTCCAGTCGTCCTTAGCTTCCCTTCTTTAGTGACCTCACCAACTGAAGGCTTTCTCTTTGTCTTAGGCCTGTTCTTCACCTTTTTTTTATCTCAGGAGCACTGACACTGAACTCACCAGTAGGCCATTCCTGTGGACCATTTAGAGGCTCAAGTAGGTGATCATAAGCCTTTGCATAAGTATGTTTCCTGAAGTAATCATTCACATACTGCTCTAGTTGGTCCACTTTGTTCCAAATGGCCACCACACCATGTTTGCATGGTATGCCACTAATTTTCCATGCATTGCAAGAGCATGTTCTGCTCACTAAATTCACACCATATCCGGTCTGAGTTTCCCCATCCTTCCCCCCATAGCAAAATCCACCATCCCAATATGCATTCCATCCCCTTGCCCATACTTTGTGTTTCTCAAGCTGCTGCTGGATTCTAGGGCATAAAGTGAGTTCCCTCTCTTAGATCATGTCCCTTTTCTTGTGTAATCTGTCCATTAAGCTCTCTCTTATGTCTTCTAGCATACTTATAATAGGCTTATGCCTCCATTTAAGTATGTATGCATTAAAAACTTCAGACATGTAGTTGTCAACACTGTCACATGAAGCCATAGGAGTGTCGAAAGCCCTACACCATTTTTTATAATTCCTCTTCAACAAATCTTCAGCAGCATCATTTGAAAGCTCTCTTAGAACTTGTAATTTGTCAAGAAAATCATTCTCAGTGGTGGACTTGGCAATAATCCAAAATTGCTTCCTATACTCTAAGCTTCCACTAAAAACCCCTCTAAAATTACAGTAAACATGTCTTGCACATACCCTACTCTCAGCTTGTGGAAACACCTCTTATATTGCTGCAAGTAACCCCTTTTGGTGATCTGACATAAATGTATACCCAACCCCTTCTCTTGTTCCCAAATCAGCTGCAAGTAGATCTAGGAACCAACTCCAAGTGTCAGTGCTCTCAACACCAACCACAGCCCATGCTAAGGGGAACATTTGGTTGTTCCCATCCCTACCAACTGCTACCAACAATTGCCCCCCATAAGGACCCTTTAAAAAGCAACCATCTAATGAGATAAAAGGCCTACATCCATCCAAAAGACCTTTTCTCAGAGCCTTAAAACAGATGTAAATCCTATCAAATACAGTCCCATTTAACTTGAGTTTCACTGTATTTCCCCTGTTGCTTCTCATTATCTCTGCTGCATATCTAGGAAGCAATGCATATTGCTCCTTGTATTCACCAACAATAAGAGCCTGCCCTCTTCTCCTTGCCCTTTGAGCCTTATATTTACTAATCCTAATGCCCCAGTCTATCCAAACAGTCTCCATCAGGTCATGGAGCCTCATATAGGGGTTGACTTTGAATTAAGTGTTGTACTGATTAACAATCCAAGTTGTTGACATTTTGCTTACCTTGCATGATCTTCCACAGGTATGCTCACTGACATGTGATTTCACACTGAGCTTTGTCTTCTTTGTATCCCATGAAGCCCAAATTTTTCTTTATTTTCACATACTGCTCCCAACCTCATCTTATCATTCTTAAAAAAGTTTAAGTTCCTGCCTTGTTCAATTGCCATATTTCTAACAGCTTGCTTGAAAGTGGATGGGTTCTCAAAGGGTTGACCAGGGTAAAAAAAAAAAAGGGCTCTACAACCAATAATTTTTTTGTTGGATTTGTCATACCTAGTGGTTGAGGGTGCAGCTAAATACCCACAGTCACTGTCATCATCATCTTCATCAGGGCTGTCTAGCTCATCAAATCCCTCAAAGTCACTCCCAATTTCACCCAACCCCTTGTTTTCAGCTACCCTCCTCAACATAAGTAACTCATCATCATAAGAAACCATTTTTTCCTTCTCTTTGGCTATTTCAGTCCTTGCATGCACAATCTCCTCATCATCTACATCAGTTCCTTCAGTGTCATAGTCTATGTCTACATTGTCATGCCTAGGGATTTGATCAGTTTCTTCAAAATGTTCCCCTTCAACATGATCATTTGCACCCAAATGAACTCCCTCACTTTGTTTCTGAACAGGCTCATTATCATTTTCATTATCTCTAGTCATTAAGCTCACAAAAGAACCCGTACTCCTAGGTTTGGAAATAAAGGCCTATAAGGTTCTTGGTGTTCTGTATATATGTGTATGAGCTTGTACTGTAAAAGAAAGGATAGAAATGGATCACAAATGTTCTTCTCAACATAAAGGTACCTAATCCCAGAATTAAAATCCTTTCTAGGATCTAAGAAATGGATCTTAACAATATCAATGTACCCCAAACCATCAATTAATTTCTTAACATACTCAGCATCTACAGTTTCTGGAATGTCCTCAAACACACTTATTTTACCCCCAAGGTAGGATGACTCACTACCAATTTGCCATTCACCACCATGATGTACCACCAAACAAGGTTTTAAGTCCATAATCTGCCAATAATATAAACAATGTTTAACATGCTTACCACAACAACCAACTTACATAATATCATACATCAACATCATCATAATCAAATGACAAAATGCACTTATTTTATTAAAAAAAGAGCATATTGTCATCCATTACCATTCATAATATTGAGTAACACCAAAGTAAACAGAACAATTGCATCCATTACCATTCATAATATTGTCATCATCAATTACAAAACATACTTGATTAGGCTTCATTGAATTACTTACATTGCATCAACCTAGTTACCTAAATGAAGCCTAATCAATCCATTCCTTAAACTTCTACCTATTTAGATCAGATCATACATTGTCATAGCAGTGACATACCCAAAAAAAGACATGAATGTCACATTCATCCACCCTAAATACATTCCAAGCTATGACAATGTCAAAAACCTACCATCACCTTAAAACTAAAATAAACAGCATAAAAGCTTAAAACTAGCAGCTCCTAAAACCAAAAACCAACTAGCTGCAAAGAACCCTCCCCCACCCACAACAGCCTACTGCTCCTCCTTGAAGAGGAGGGGGAAGCCATCAAAGTAGACTGTCATGTCCTTCTGGATCCAAGCATGAAAGTCCCTCCCATCATTGTAGATGAGGTCGTTGAGAATCCACTCGTTGACAGATGCCCTAGGTCCGAAAAAGGGTTGGAGCTGGGTAAGGTGGCGTGTCTTCCACCACAGACGCCATTTCCTGCAAACCTTATCCACAATATCCCAACTCCCCCAATCAAGCTTAGGGAAGACATAGAGGGCGAGCAGATCGGGGTTGCTGAAAATAGGATGCGCAGCGGAAAGAGCGTCCATACCTAGGTAAATTAATGGAGTTAGACAAGAATTTTACCACGTTCAAAACATACTCTGTTTCACTAACACCAAAACCCTAAAAATTCTCCACAAATTCTACCCAAAAACACCTAAATTCTCACAATCAGCCACAATAAACCAAACAAACATGCAGCAAAAGACGAAGATGACTACACAAACAACAAAAAACAACTTTAATACAAAATTCGCCAAAAAAAAACAAAAAACCAAACAACTCTGTCAACAACACAATTACAGTCGAATTAAAGAAGAAGAAGACAGAAAGAGGGAATATACCTTCAGATGATTGCAGCTGGTGGAATTTCGCTTTCTTGCAGTTACGTTCGCAAGGACACAACCACATTAATGGCGTAGAAGAAGGAAGGACGAATTTTTTTTCTGGGTTGGAAAGAGAAAGATGTCCTCTTGGTTTATAAATTAATGGAAAATAGTACTGATATGAGGTGAGCCAATAAGGGGAAGGGTAAATAAAAAGGCATAGCCCTTTACAATTCTCGCGCCAAAAAAACAGAGAAAGTAATGATGAATAACGCTTCCCAAAGAACAACTGATTAATTTAATTTTATTTTTATTTTTTTATTTTTAATCAAAACGCATCATTTACAATACAATGCAAATCAATTGGGCCACGTGGCTACAGTTCGTCCCTAAACTTTCCTTCATTAGTTCTTAATCGAACTCAGTAAAAAAATAAAGCTTGCTGAAGAAGCTTTGTTGATTAATTATTTAATAATAAAAATCTGACTCTACATCCCTAATCTTTTGATGACTCAACATCCCTAAACTTATTTGATGACTCATAGTCCCTAAACTAATGCCTAGTCAGCTTAGAGCATAACCAACCGTTAACCATTTAGGATGGTTATTGGGAGAGAGAATGTGAAAAAATAATTAAAAAAATGAAGAGAGAGAAATTTTTGGGAATAAAAAGCAATAACCTGGTTGTGGAAATAACCAGGTTATAAAGCTTGGTTATTGAGTGAAGTAGTAGGGCCAATTTGCTTGGTCATTGAGTGAAAGAGGGAGATTGTGTGGTGGGGTTGGGTAAAAGTAAGAGAGATAAGATGTGTAACCATGGTCAACCATTGGGCTACATTGGTTATTAAGTGGGTATAGGAGTGGTTATAAATGTGGTGGAAGATAGAGAAATAATTAAATAAGTGATAACCATAATGGTTGTGGGCAACCATTGTGTTTACTCTAAACTTTTGGCTAACAAACACCATTTAAGGTGGGGGAGGGACTAAAACTCTCCAAAAAATTAAGAGGGACTAAAACTTTCCTTTACGGGGCGTTTGGTTGGAGGGATAGGAATAAGAGGGATAAGGAAGAAGGATAAAGATGGGAATTGATAGCCTGATAGGTGGGACAAGGATAAATAATCCTTATCCCATGTTTGGTAAGTATGGGAAATAAATTAGGGATAAGTAGTAAAATTATAAAAATACCCTTACTAACTTCTACCCTTTCCCTTATCCTTTCAACTTCATTAAGGGTAACTTGGTATTTTTAGCCTATTTCTTATCCTTTCTCCTTATACCACCCCCCTTAGTTATAGAAATGGGGGGGGATAAGAAGGTGTTTTAATCCCTATCCTCAACCTCCTTTTAATCCCCATCCCTCTAAATAAACATTACTTTTCTTCTATTCTTATCCTTTGTCCTTATCCCTCCTTTTTTATCCCCCTAGACAAACACCCCCTTAAATAAAAGTTGAGGGACTGTATTTATACTTTACTCCACAAATGTCCTAAGAAAGGGCATTCAAGTAAAATAGCTGCAGCGAAATAGAAGGAACTGGGTTGATGTGGTCTTCTACTCTTCTCTGGAAAAACAACACAAATACAGTCTCTAGAACATCCTACTACTCTGTATCATAAAACTTTCTGGAACTATCATAATTCCTTAAACCCTTCTTCTTTCTCTTTCCTCTCAATCAATCAATCTAAAACCCTTATTTATCCTGAATTCAGATTTTCAACTTCATACAAACGATATTCGTAAAGTCCAAAAATGGCAGCTTCTGTGCTTCTACGTTCAGCTCTTCGCCGCCGAGATTCTCTCTTCTCTATTGCTGCTCATCATTCGGTACTTTTCGTTTATATTTTCTTACTTTTTATTTTCATTTTAAGCGTTTTTAGTTGATTATTTTTGTGTGATTTGGTGTTGGTAGGATGATCAGATCGTGCAAATGGATGTACATTTTTTTCTTCAAATTTCCCATATAATTTTATTTAAATAAATAATAAACAATCTTTAGTGTATTTTGATTAATGTTTTTGTCGTGATTATACTTGAAAAAACAATTTTTAGTGTATTTTGATTAAGGTGATGAGCTGAGGAATGCCCGGTTCATAAGGGTACGTTCATAATTGGGAGGGAAGTTTGATAGACATTGTCACATCGTATTAGATGACCACTTATAATAAGTACTTCCTCCATTTTAGTAATATTGCAACAATTGAAGTTTTGCACTATTCAATACTCTTGTTTGACCACATAATATGATTAAAATATACTCCATGTTCATGTGAGATATTGTTAGATTTGTCACATAGAATACTTTCACAATATCAATTTTTTTTTATTACTCTTACACAATTATATATATTTAACATATAAAATGTGTTTTAAGATGGGTATATTCATCCTTGTTGCAATATTATTGGAGCGATGAAGCATATTACCATTGAATATGACTTATTTCCTGGAACGTCTTAATCATATTTCATGTTTTGAGTCTTTTGACTACATAAAAAATTGTTTGTGGTGTGCTTAGTGTTACATCATTTGTTGTCTCCTGTCAACTGCAATGAGAAAGGTATATGTAATTCATGAAAGTGGTACATATTGTCCTAATTTACTAAAAATAGTTTGTTAATTGCATTACTGTATCCAATTATCAATTATGTCCTGTACTAGTGAATACAGTGGGCTTGATGTCATAAGTTGTTAAATGTTATTCTGATCTTGCTATGTTTTATGATGCTTCCTAAGGAAATATGCTTGTTTGTTATGCAATATGACTAGGATGGATTACAATGGTTGCAACTTACTGTTATC